GGTTTGAAACAGGAGCCACACACTCAAGCACCTCCAGGGACCAGGCTGCTAAATGCAAATGAGTGAAATGGGCTAGATGTAATCCTAGGCAGTGGGGAATGCTGTGGCAAAGCCAACTCTGTACCAGTTTGTGATGATGTTGGGTCTTTAAGAATCGTGACGGCGTTTTGGAATTGAAGGTGGTCAAAAGGTACAAACTTGTGGTTATGAGATAAATAGGTACGGGGATGTAATGTACAGCATGATGACTGTAGTTGGCAACGCCACCTGGTATATGTACAAGTTGCAAAGAGAGTAGATCCTAAGAGTTCTCACTACAAGTAAAAAAATATATACATTTTTTTATAACTATAGGAGGAAATGGATGTTAAACTTACTATGGTAATCATTTTGCAATATATGTATGTCCGGTCATTATGTGGTGCACTTTAAACTTATACAGAGCCGCATGTCAATTATAGCTCAAGAAAACTGGGGAAAAAATAATGTCCTATGGGCTCCAGGCACGCTGCACTTGGCTGCGGGTTGGCTTCTGTGGACTGATGCCTGCAGGCACATTTCCTGTTGCAGAGGGTACCCCCAAATTGCCCGCTGATAAACAGTGCAAAGGCCCCGGGGACCCACTGCCCTATTCCCCAAATGGGTAAACCGAGTTCCCATCACCAGGTCCCTCTTACCAATAAGCCGGCATTTCTGATGGCCAGGGGAAGCCCCAGGAGCCCTGTGCCAATGTTGCATTTCAATAAATGGATCAAGGTTTGCATCGTCCTGTGTGGGGAGAGCAGGGAGATAAGAGGGCACGTTAGTGGAAGGGAAGGGCCGCCTGAAGCTCAGCCTCTTTCCAGCATCTCCAGCACCCTCTGCTGGGAAGAGAGGGAAAAAGCAGATGAAGTGGACTGTGGTCTAACTCAGTCCCTGCAACATCAGATCCAGGGCTGGTGCGCTTGTTCAGGTGGCTCAACAAATATTTTAACACACACTTAGCTCTAAAGGATAAAGTTGATAATTGGTACACACTGGATAATTCCCTAGTACCAGCTTATTAATGAATGAATTCATCTGGTGGTTTCTTTCATGATTTATTCACTCAATATTTATGGAGACCTACTACATGCATGGCATTTAGATGAACAATGAAAAAATTAATAACCATTTTCTCAACGTACAGTCTAACTGTTGGTGCCAGGTTATTCACTCCTGAGGGAAAAAAAAAAAACGATCTCCTACCACAATGGAGTATTTACCGGTTCTAGGTTATTTCTTCATCCATTTGCTCAACCAATATTCCCTGTGAACTTATTCCATGCTATGCACTGGATAAAATGTAATGGCATTGCTCCTGTGCATACAGAATGCTTGCTCTGTGCCTGGCATTGTGCTTGGGGCCAGGGTTTCAAATGCCCGTCACACCTATGCTGGCTCCTGCCCAGGCAGCTCCAAACCACTGGGGCGGGGGAAGGTGGGAAAGGATCGCAAAAAGAGACTCAAAAAGGAACTGAAATGAAAAGCTGAGTGCAAGAGCAGTGAGCCCAGAGGTAAGAGACACTGGGTTCTGAGTTCTAACACAGAATCTANAAAAAAAAAAGAGCCCGTGTTAGCACCTATGAGATACCTAGAGCTTGGTCAGCCTTCTCGTCTTTGAAAAAGTTATTTTTTTTTATTGTGGTAAAATATACATAGCATAAAGTTTACAATTTTAACCATTTTTAAGTGTACAGTTCAGTGGCATTAAGTACATTGAAACTGTTGTGCAACCATCACCACTATTTCCAGAACTTTTTCTTCATCCCAAACTGAAACTCTGTACCCAGTAAGTAATAATTCCCCATTATCCAGCCCCCTGGTAACCCCTATTCTACTTCTGCCTCTACGAATGTGACTATTCTAGGTACCTCATGTGAGTGAAATCATATTTTTCTTTTGTGACCGGCTATTCCACTTAGCATATTGTCTTTAATGTAGATCCATGTTGTAGCACAGATCAGAATTTCATTTTTTTGAAGGCTGAATAATATTCCATTGCATGTATTTATCACATTTGTTTATCCATTCATCAGTCCATGGGCATTTGGGTTGTTTCTACTTTTCGGTTATTGGGAACCCGCTCATCTTTAAATATGGGGAGAGTGGGACCCAGGGAGGAGAGAGGAATTGCTTGAGGCCACTCTCCAAGTTAGTGGCACAGCCCAGATAAGAATCCGAGTCTTCTGTTTTCCAGTTCTCCAGCCTTTTTCCCATCATTTCTCCCAGACTTGTGCAGTCTACTCACTGATATAGCAGCTATCATGGATCTAGAAAGAGCAATGATTTTAATAGACTCCTGGGGTGGGCAGAATAATGGCTCCCCAAAGATGTCCACGTCCTTATCCCTAGAACCTGTGAATATATATTATGTTACATATGGCAAGGGAGAATTAAGTGTTCAGACTGAATTAAGGTTACTAATCAGCTGAACTTGAAATAAGGAGGTTATCCTGCATTACCTGGGTGGGCCCAATATGATCACAAGCGTCTTTAAAAGTAGAAGAGGGAATCAGAAGAGAACCAGAGAGCCAAGGTAACATGAGAAAGCCTGGGCCTGACATTGTTGGCTTTGAAGATGAGCCAAGGCATGTGGGTGGGAAAGCCTGTAGGAGCTGGAAAAGACAAGAAAACAGCTTCTCCCCATAAGTCTCCAGAAAAAAATACAGCCCTGCTGACAGCTTGACTTTTAGCCCAGTGGGACCCCCAGAATTGTAAGAGAAATTTATGTTGTTTGAAGCCACTAAATGTGTGGTAATTTGTTATAGCAGCAACAGGAAACTACCATATTTCCCCATGTATAAGAC